GGTCCTACTATTTGCCCTTGCCACTTGTCCTCGTCTCCAACATGGGCTTGCTTTAGTCACACCACTTGACCACTTGCCAACCTTCTAGAAGGACTGCAGCTGGACTTCTACTCTACAGGTCTATGGATCAAATCCTGGCTACCTAAAGACCTACGACAGACCTACTTACCACTGGCGGTCCTACAGGTCGCAGGTTCAATTCTTCAAGTTGTCACAGATATTGTTCACAGGTAAGTTGGGGAACTAGGGATCGAACCCTGGGTCCTGCATCAGCTACTTCGAACTGGTTAATACCGTTTCAAGAGTATCGTTTTGTCAGAATAGTCTCAGAAACATGGACCAGGTGCGCTGCTCAGAAAAGCAGAAATGAGCAGCGCCTCTTTCCCAACCCTGAGTAATAGCTCCCAACTACCCCACAACCCCTGAAACAACTAGCACCACCCAGATACTGCCTCCAGAGGGGAGGGAGCTCCACCCTGAAACAGGCCCCTGAGGCCAAGCGCACTCCCTGCTTTTGAGGACATTGATTTAAAGCTCGAGTACGTTGCGTACGTCGTTTTGATTCTCTACCATGAGGAATTAATTGATTCATTGTAGGCATATGTGTGGTTTTGTTTTTTGTTAATTCAATTAATGCAACTGACAGGCTTCGGTAGTGTGACCCGCCTGACCTGGCCCTTTGATATGATAGATATCATATCATATATATCCCTTACGGGATTTGAGCCCGTGTCTTCGCCATGAAAAAGCGATGTCCTATACCCCTAGACGAAAGGGACGAATTCACAAATGGTTAACAGGTACCCCCACTTTTCACCCCTAGGGTAACCTTTTTGGTCAAAGCATGTATGTGCCAAGTTTGGTGTTTGTTGGGTTCCTGGAGATGCTTGTGTTGGGCAGCGGTGAAAATTGTGAAAATCGGCAATTTGAAATGCTGGTAAAATTTCATGAAAGTGCACTTTTGCCTTGCTGTTTTATATGTTTTTAATTTTTTTTGTTTTTTTTTTTTGTTTTTACAATAAGTTAGTAAGAAGTGCACTCTACAGATTGGTGTTAAGTATGGTTAAAATGACCCTTTGTTTTTTTTATAAATGGAGGTGAAAAATGGGGGGTCGGTTAACCTTCTGTCAGCGCAGATCAGAGGACGAAGAAGAAGACCATCGCCACAGTCTCTGATGAAGATGAAGTGCCAGCTGACTTCAGTGATGAAGACCTGCAGCAGCACCACCTTTCCTGACAAAGGAGATCTCTGAGGATGTAAGCTGCAGCTATGGCTGCAGTGACACCACCCTGAACCCTACTCCTGAGGAGGGCTCCGCAGGGCACCAACTTCTCAAGCTCACAGCAGACCTCAGATAGCCCAGACCTCTGAGCGGCCCCACGTGCTGCCAGAGAACAGCGAAGGACCCAGCTATGGCCGGCGCTTCGAGGGTCTGGCTATGTCTGTCCACCTGAACGCTGAAGCTGTCACCACTCCAGTTCATGCGTTGTGTCGTCGCGATCTTTACGAATTTGCAGATATGTCCCTCACGTAAAGACTAACAAATTTCCCTCCATTTTTACACCCAATAAGGTAAACTGGGTAAAATGCTCCAATCATTTTCCCTCCGTTTTTTTTTTCTGCGGTATTCCCAGCCTTGCTTAATCAGAAATTCCAAATTAATGAAAGTTTGATTGAGTTCATATTTTTTATTTTACTTTCTTTTTTTTTTAATGGTACACCCGTGAACTGTTGATTTACAGACCTCAGTTCGAATTCCGCTGGGATTAGCTGAATGAAATGCCTCTGCATAATTTGCAAACACTCAGATAGATGATGATGCCTTCGCATGTTGAACAACTAATGGAGATCGAATTTTTAGAGGGGGAGAAGGGAGGGGGGGGGGGGGGGGGGGGGGGGGGGGGGGGGGGAGATGACTCAATGCCATCAGCCCTGCAAAGAAAGAAAAGGAAAAATGTGCACACAGCCTTTTTTTCCCAAAAAAAAAACAGAAAAGGACAAAGAAAATCATTCATGTGGCTCTACTCCTATGCTTTTTTTTTTTTTTAACTCCTATGTTACCTCTGAGGCATGCATGCAAAGAGGACAGCAAGTAAACTTTAAGATTCTATTTCTACAAACAGATGGGCTCCATGCTAGACACACCGGCCACGCCCTTATCCTTTTTTTTCTTTTTTTTTTCTTTTTCTATTGGGACCATTTCTCAATTTATGGGTGGCATCCTTGTGCAGCGGCCACCATTTTAGTAGAGCTCAAAAAAAAAAAAAAAAAAAAAAACAAAGGAAAGGAAAAGAGGCCATCTGTTGTTATCCTGAAGCCTGGTCCCATTAGCGAAGTGGAATGGATTTAAGTAATTGCTGAATCTGGATTCTGGATGCATTTTGGGAAGAGATGCAGAAAAGCAGATCAATCACAATTTTCTGCATCTCTCCACAAACACGTCCAGATTCAGGAATTATATCCCAATCCTCTTTGCTAATGAGAAAAGGCCCCTGGTATCTTAGGCATAGTGGAACCACGCCAATCCATCCTGAACTTGGTGTCGTAATGGGTCCAGATTCAAGAATTAAATTCAATCCTCTTTGCTAATGAGAACAGGCCCCTGGTATCTTAGGCATAGTGGAACCACACCAATCCATCCCGAACTTGGTGTCTTAATGGGTCCAGATTCAGGAATTAAAAATTCAATCCTCTTTAGAGATGAGCAACGGGTACCCAGACCCACACCCACTGGCACCCACCCCACCCACGAGGCATTGGGTCAGGTGTGGGTCTTGATAAGCTGGCATGGGTGGGATGAGGGTGGGTCAGGGCGAGCAAGCCTGGTTTTTCTTTTTTTCTTTTTTTTTTTTTTTTTTGACGGACGGGTCAATGTTAGGCCGGGGTCACCCGAATGGGTGGGTGACACGCGGGTGAGCGAAAATGCCATAAAACACGAACCAACGTCCATAACACGAAGATCGGAATCACCATCAAGAAAAAAAAGATATCATGATGTAGGATAGGGGTCAGTGCAGAACGCCTGCCCTCAGAACCAGACGTGACTGTTTCCGGTCATGCAGCTCGCCCCCCAAAACCTTAGCCTTGTTTGTGTGCTCGGGAAGGGAAGCTGACAGACAGCTTCGCTTCGCGCGCTAGGCCTGGGTCACCCCACAGACCCAGGACAACCCATAAGAACCCTCCCCCCCACCCCCTTATACATAATTCCCAGCTGCGGTCCATCTGTGGACTTCAAAGGCAGAAAGTCTCCACCCTGGGGCCCTTAGGAAAAAAAGTTGGGGTCCTCGAAAAAAAAGAACCGTGCCAGTGGCAAATCGAAAATTTGGGGTCCTCGAAAAAATGGGTCACGCTCTACTTGTGGCAGCTGGACCACGGCCCAAACAACGGGATGTTCGCTCCCATTAAAACAACGGGGATCGAACCTAACCACAGCAACGGGCAAGCCTTAGGTTCACTACCCAATTTTAAACTTGTGGAGCGATTCGAATTTCCGCAGGCAGAGATGCTTCAAAGTTTTGCGCTGTCATCCAACGATGTCGTATTGCTATGGTGCGTGCAAATGTTCGAAGGGACAGAGACAACGGGTGCGGGTGGACAATAATTAGGTACCGGGTGCGGGTGAGTAATTTTTTCTTGCGGGTGTGGGTGGGTCAGGGTGAAGGTTTTTCACGGGTGATGGGCGGGTTGGGTGTGGGAGGAAAATTTCAAAAAAACATTCAGGTGGGTTGGGTCACCTTGAGATTTTTTGTTTTTGTTTTTTTTTAGGGCGGGTTGTGCTTAAAACATTATGGGCGGGTTGGATGAAGTGCCAATTCAAAAAAGAAATGCTCATCTCTGATCCTCTTTGCTAATGAGAACAGGCCCCTGGTATCTTAGGCGTAGTGGAACCACACCAATCCATCACGAACTTGGTGTGATAATGGGTCCAGAATCAGGAAGTAAATTCAATCCTCTTTTGCTAATGAGAACACACCCCTGGTATCTTCGGCGTATCTATCCCGAACTTGGTGTCGTAATGGGTGCACATTCAATAAGTAAATTCAATCCTCTTTGCTAATGAGAACAGGCCCCTGGTATCCTAGGCGTAGTGGAACCACACCAATCCATCCCGAACTTGGTGGCGTAATGGGTCCAGATTCAGGAATTAAAGCCAATCCTCTTTCCCATAGAGCTTCCTGTACAGTATAGTGACTATAATCACTTCATGACAATACCATACAGAAAGCTCTACGGGAAAACAACTCGATGCCAAGATCACTTTCTTTTTTTTTCCTTTTTTTTTCATAAGATTACTTTATGATCGAAAAAAGGGAGCAGGCAGATGGATAAGATAGCAATTTCCCAAAAAAAAAAAAAAAAAAAGATAAGATAGCAACAACCGAGTTCTTTCAAAAGTGTTTCCTTTTTTTTCCCATTYTYCTYTYWKTYYYWCCCCTCCCCCTCCTCTCTTTAACAGTGGCTCCTTTTTTTTTTTTTTCCGTTTTCTTTGTTTTCCTTCTTAGCAAGTCGAGGTTGTTGTAGAGGTTGGATGCTACCGTCTTCCCGCAAACAAATAACGCATATGCATTGTATTCGAGTTTTCAAAAATTTCAAAAATCGAATAGTCGAAAACTCGAATAGTCGAAAACTCGAATAGAACGTGTATGCTTTGTATTCTAACACAAGGGTTGTCGAATGGAACTCATATCGCATATGTGTTCTATTCAATTAAAAAGCGACCTATATGTTGTATTCGTTTACAATGCGTATGTGTCATGTTCGGGGGAAGACGGTCGACGTAATGACAGTCATCCTCGGTAGGAATTGTTGATTATCGAGATGGTCTGTTGATACGTCTAGCATCCAGTCGGCTCTTTCTCTCTCTCTCTCTCTCTCTCTCTCTCTCTCTCTCTCTCTCTCTCTCTCTCTCTCTCTCTCTCTCTCTCGCGCGCGCGCACACGCGCACGGGCATCTAGCATCCAGACGGCAACCCGTAAGTTCCCTAACCGTTGGTTTAGCCATTTGGTCATCGAGATGGTCTGTTGGTCTGTTGATAGGACGAAGCGTGTGGATCCCCCTCAACAACTCTTCAAGGAGCCCCTTCCCTTGTGCAGCAGAACAACGAAATCATCCATACAAAGCTTCGAAAGTAAACAAGTACATTTCAAATCGACAAGGCTTAGCATGATCACAAGTTTCGCAACACCAACAACAACCCATATTTCCTGCCCAGTCCCTCCTCCTCCTCCGACAATGACGACTCCTAGACACCGTCCTCCTCCTCGACGAGCACATCACCCACACTCTCGCCCCGGAAATCGTACTCCCAAATGAGATGACGACTCCTAGACACCGTCCTCCTCCTCGACGAGCACATCACCCACACTCTCACCCCGGAAATCGTACTCCCGAATGAGACCAAGATTGTCTACCAGTTGATGGAACTTCCCACAACCTGCGCACTGCACAAAGACGGTGCCCCTCCTATACGCATGGGGGTTCAGCATCCTTTGTGACCGTGCACCACAGAGATTGCATGTAAAAGAGACAAGCAGCCTACGGCGAGGCAGAGTGATCTGGATGCTGGTAGTGGAGGACGGCTCGCTCTCACTCTCATGACCAGCAAGTGACGACACATCAGCATCATCCGACAACGACAACGAGGGTAACCGTGCGGCCATGTCATCGTCTCCCGGCTCAAGGGCCTCGTCTGACCGCTCACTGTTGGAATAGCCGTCCCCTGGATTATCCATACAAAGGCAGGCAACTCCCTGCTTCTGAGGACATGCTCTCGCTCTTGCTCTTGCAGCCGTCGCTCTCTTGTATCTCGTGTCATTCCATCGCGATGATGTTTCCGAAACGCAGAAGCAGGTGAAGGGATGCGATAATGCACAAAAGTACCACTGGGAAAACTGCCCCGGTGGGACCACAGGGATAACCAAGTTTTCTGGAACCTTCTGAGGACAACGCCCAGCAGCGGTACCATTGGTAAAACTGTCGATAGGTGCAGAAAAGATGTGGGTAGGTTTGGGAAAAACGTCGGCGCGTCCGCGGCATCTCACGTTTGACAGTGACCCGGACAACGATAACCGCTTTTGCGATGGCAGACAACGCGATGCAACGGAATAACAGCAGCAGTTGCAATGAAGTAAATGATGACCTGGCAGCGGCAGCAAATGGGCACATACAACTCCAGTGTCCGATCGACACTCCCGAAGACCGCGATTGCGGCAGCCACCAGCACCCGTCGTCGGTGACCATGATGATGGGCCCGAAGCCCGGAGGGCCCGGACACTGTTACCACCTTTGAGCATCGGCAGATGAACAGCCATCATTTTTCCTTGAAGTGAAGGGAAAGGAAAAAAATGCCCACTCGCGTAGAGCTCACTGTTGCAAAGATAAGGGTATTTTTTTTAACTGAAAAAGGGAAACCCAAAGAAAAAAGGGCGAAGCTTCCAGCATCAACTACCAGAAACTCAAGCTCGTCAACAGCTATCGCTGCTTACAAACACCAACCATCCATATAGATGGAAGGATCAGTGACACACCCTCTCTGCAGCTACACTTTACATTTGGCAGTTGCTCCTTACGCCTGTTTCACTGAAACGCACTGCAGTTCACAGTAATATTTGCATCCCTTATTGCGCTCACAACAGCTGCTGCTTGTTTCACACTGTGGTGACCACAGAAACTGACTGCAGTCACTACAGTCAAAATATCATTTCATACAGTAAAAGAAGTTCTCCAGTTAGTGCTGTGTGAAGCTCTATCAGTAACCACAGTTACTGCTTGCAGGCTGCAGTTACTGCTTGCAGGCTGCAGTTACTGCTTTCAGGCTGCAGTTACTGCTTGCAGGCTGCAGTTACTGCTTGCAGGCTGCAGTTACTGCTAGCAGGCAGGCAGGCAGGCAGGCAGGCAGACAGACAGACACGGGGTACTAGTACCGCACTCACTGACGTTAATGCATTTTGCAATCCGCTTGCTGCATGCATGGCTTCGGTTGCGGCAATCGAATTAACACAGTAAATGAAGTAACGGATACGTAGTCAGCTAATGCAGTGCCATGCTTCCTGCAGTTACTGCAGTACAGTGCTAGCTACAGTTACTGCAGTACGCTGCTAGCTGCAGTTACTGTTGTACTCTGCTGGCTGCAGTTACTGTTGTACACTGTTAGTTGCGGGTTACTAGTATTGCACTCCCTGCAGTTAATGCATTTTGCACTCCCTGCGCTTGCTGCAGACATGGCTTTCAGGTGCAACAGTTGAATTAACACAGTAAATGCGGTTACGCAGTCAGCTAATGCAGTACGATGCTACCTGCAGTTACTGCTCTACAATGTTAGCTGCAGTTACTGCACTACACTGCTAGCTGCAGTTACTGCACTACACTGCTAACTGCAGTCACTGCCCTACACTACTAGCTGCAGTTACTGCAAACTGCTTGCAGTTACTGCAGTAAATGCAGCTACAACAGTTACTGCAGTTATTGCAGTTCTGGCAGTTACAGCAGTTGCTGCAGTCACTGCATTTACTGCAGTCACTACAGCTACTGCAGTCACTACAGTTACTGCAGTTACGACAGTTATGACAGTTACTGCAGTCACTACAGTCACTACAGTCACAGCAGCTTTTGCAGTTACTGCAGTTACTGCAGTTATGGCAGTTAACGCAGTTAATGCAGTCACTGCCCTACACTACTAGCTGCAGTTTGCAGACTGCTTGCAGTTACCGCAGGAAATGCAGCTACAACAGTAACTGCAGTTACTGCAGTTCCTGCAGCTCCAGCAGTTACTGCAGTCACTGCATTTACTGCACCAGTCACTGCAGTCATTGCATTTACTGCAGTCACTGCAGTGACTACAGTTACTGCAGTCACTACAGTTACTGCAGTTACGACAGTTACGACAGTTACGACAGTTACTGCAGTCAGTACAGTCACTACAGTCACTACAGCTTTTGCATTTACTGCATTTACTGCAGTTACTGCAGTTAATGCAGTTAACGCAGTTAATGCAGTTACTGCTTGCACTTACTGCAGCTACTGCGTTCTGCATTTACGAAGCAGCTAATATCCAGGCAAGCAGTCAGGTCGCAGGCCTGCTAGTCTCTTTCCAAAAGCTGAATTCAAATCGCAGTTTGAACCAACGGAGTCTTTTCAAGAAACCTGCTGCTACTCATTTGAAGACTGTTACTACTACAGTTACTGCAGTTAATGCATTTACTGCTTGCACTTACTGCAGTTACTACGTTCTGCATTTACTATCATCGTCCATTCACAGAGGACTGCACCTATATAGAGCGTCACACCAGAAGGGGAAAAAAAATCACATAACATGCAACAATTCACCCTCAGGCTGTCACATAGAGAACAGTCCACGTTGACTGGGTTTGGCTTTGACTTTCTCGCTGGGGAAGGCCTGAGTGTGTGTCACCTCAACTACAACTCAGTCCCGAGTTACTGTGCGCCGAGCAATGGGTGGCTTCTAGTTAGTACTGCCCACCAGTGATTATCTATTCAGCCCATCAGTATCGCAGGATTCTCACAATAGTTATCCATGTCCGATAGGCCTACAAACAATTCGCTTCTAACTATAGACATCCTCCAACAGCCGTACAAACAACTGACTTCTGACTATATGCATCCTCCCATGGCCATTCAAACAGCTCACTTTGTCAGCCAGCAAAATGCGGTCTAGCACAGTCCAGCACTCCGACAGACAAGCCTACATAGTGTAACCCTGCCCACGCGCTTGTGTATGTGTCCCAGTTGCCCAGGAAAGCAGACTGTAGTAGACCTTGCAAAATTTTGATGCACTCGCAACTAAAGGGGGGAGTGGAGGCTTCGACAGTCTCCCTCTGACGTTTCCAAGCTCGACTCTTTTTTCAGCCTTCCACACTTTTGAAGCACCCAATCAACCC